CTTTCCTTGAAAAAAGGGAAAATAATATGATGAAATGATGATCCTATCAAAAAAGTTCTGCTGTGCTGCCGTCTCTTTGGTGACAGTACCAAAGAAGAAGATATTTTATGCACAGTGTCAACAGGCTGTCTCTACAATTTTGTCCTGGCATGTTATTAGTAGAGAAATTGGCTCAAACCCAGGTGCCTTATGGATATTAGGAGATCAATGGATGGGTTGTATCTATTCATCTGAGTAAGCCAAACAGCAAGAATGTGAAATACAAGTGTTTACTTGTGTGCAGTTTCCCTGGCATTACCCTCATCTTCTAAGGCTTCCACACCTACGTGGGTGGTTTTCCTAAAAGCTGAATCCGGGGCTGACTCAAATCCCACTAGCCCAAGTGAGAGTTTAGTTGCAGAAAGGTTTTTGGAGGCTCCCAAGACAGTAGTCCCAGTCTTAAAGTTAGATGCTTAGATCCAAGTTCAGGCATCCCAGTAAGTTATCTGAACTTAATTGTGTAGTCTTTTGCCATGCATATTTAGTGCAAGGGTCATGCTGACACCTCAGAACTGCAGTGGTTTAAAGGCCTATATTAGTGGCCTGTCAGTATATTGTCTTGGCCAGGTGCATAGTCAGTGGCCTAAACTGAGATAATCAGCAGTGCTCACAGTGGATTTGCATCGATCAAGCAGCTTCTCTCTGAATTTAGTGCAATCTTACTGTTTACTGTTGGGGCTGCCATAGCACCTGGAAGCTGGAGGTGCTGCTGGAATTTGGTAGTGCTGGAAGGAGGAGGAAATGCCTTCCCTGGAGAACCTGCAGCCCTGGTTTCTTGCTCCGGTGGCTGCAGTTTAAGGCAAATAAAATGAAAGCTTGTAGCTTTGGGAAAATGCCCTTTAGTTTGTTGCCACCCTGCCTTTGGTGGAGGAGCCCAAGACCGACCTGTAGTGCCAGCAGAAAAAAAATGACCTGCGTGAACTGTCGAGATTAGAACATATCTGAATTTGCTGAAAATAGGGAGAATCTCCAAAGCCTAGTCTATTTTTAGAAGATCCTCTGTGGAGAAAACAAAGTCTAATTAGAAGCAGACGGTTTTGTTGCAGCAACCTACCATTTCGCATGTGACCCTGGGAGTCTTCCACCTCTCCGGGTTTGTTAAATCTCATTGTTAACTGTCTGAGTCCTGCTTAACTTCAAAGCCAGGCCTAAATACTACCTTTTCCAGTCATATCTTCCTGTTTTCAAGACATGAGATGAACATTGCCCTTATTAGGAAGTTCTGATCTTTAATGCTCTCTTTTAGAGAGCGTTAGTTATAATGATTCTCTTCTTTTGATAATGAGGCTCTTCTTTTGATAACTGTGGGATTAGTGGGTTTGTGTCTGCTGATCTCCACCAAGGCTTCTTATGGCTGTGAAAAGCATGGGGAAAAATAGCTTTTTGCAGAACAATTTAGCTTGGAAATTTTAGCTTGGAATGTTTTTTAAATTATCACTTGTGAAGAAATCTGTTTTTCCAAAAGTTGACTTGCATACTTTTTAGTGGTATAACAGGTTCTGAGGAGAGATCTCTGTCACAGATAGCAATTTGAGCTTCCCTTATTAAGACGCAATCACATCTTGTATTTATAAGGTTCTCCTAAATGCATTGTGTTACAATTAGTCCCTTTGTAGCAAATGATGTTTTAGGTTTTTTCCCCTTCCTTTTAATACCCTCTAAGCTTTATCAGTAATTTTCAGGAAGTCTCAGTAATTTTCAGAAAGCTTCAGGACATGAGGGTCTCTCGACATGTCTTTGCTCCCCTTCCCTAGCGTGCCAGCTCCTCAGCATGGCAGCCAAGCAGCAGGTGGGAGCAGCTGTCGGCCAGAGGGTAAAGACCCCAATGATGAATCCTTTCAACAATTTCCCACTAAGTTTTGGGCTTCCACAAGCTTACGCCATTAGTATCTTCTGTGTCATCACTCAGAAAGTCATCAGCTGTTGCACGTGGAGGGATGTTGAAGGAGTTGAATGCACTGTCTGGACATCTGTGCCACAAGGGACCACGATGGCAGGGCAGAGGTGCTGCAGACCCCACTGCAAGGGATACAGTGGGCTCCAAGGACATCTGTACACTTGCTTTTGGAAGCTGATAGGGATTTGTGGTAGTAAAGAAAAGGTTTATCAAGTCTTTGGAGACTTGTTAAAATCTATAGCTCTGAACCTCTTCCCACAACACGCTGTCATAGGAATAGGTCAGAAAAACAGTGGAGAAACAAGTGGGAGGAGAGTGCAGAAGTGAAAGGGCTACTCTGGAGGTGGGGAAGCGTGGTCCACGGGCTTCCAGGAAGGCTGAAAGCAAGTAATGGAGATATTCTGCCTGTTAAGGTGGTGACGACCTTCACAAGGGTTCAGTGCAAATTAGGCCTTTCCAGCACTGGGTGACTAAATGTGCACCCCAGGCCTCCGCTTGGCCGCCTTGCAAGGGCTTGGGCCAGGCAGGTGCACAGGAGAGCTACCAGTCACCATTTCTCCATGGCCAAACCTCAGTCCCAATGTCCTTGTTCTGAGATGTCGTCATGAGGGAGCTTGTGGCCGGTGACCCTCTTGCTCTTCCACATTCGCGAAGCAACTCGTCTGTGCTCGTGTGGGCTGAGATGTATCACAAGGCAGTGATTAAATGGGTGCGAGCACGCAATGAACTGGCAAGAAGTTCCTCTTCCTTTCCATCAGGCTTCTTTGAGTGCAACCAAACCATGAAACCAAGAGAAGCTCAAACCTGCGGACGGCCAATTGCACATCCTCTAATTTCAGCCCTTCATTAGGCACTTCCCTTCAGCCCTGTTGAAAAGCTCCTCGCTGGAGCTAGGGCTGCCTATCTTTGCACTTTTACTCAGCCAACTGTCAGCAGCACCCCGTAGGCCCAGACATTTGTGTTCAATTACCTTGAATTTCATCACAAAAAAAGCAAATTTTGCCTGGCAGTTTTAGGCTACAGCTTTGAAAGGGGCAGAACAAATGCCTCGGGTCACAGCCTGTTATGTCTGATCAGCTCGCCAGATTTATGACCTTTTTTCCTGTTATGTGATGTTGGCGTTGGGCATGTTTCTAGCTTTATTCTGCATTCAGTAGAGCAATCAGTGTCAGAGCAGTTGGTCAACACCCCGAGCTAGATGTGTCTTGCTCCTTGCAAGATATATTTTACAGGAAACTCAATTCTTAATCAGATTATGCGCTTTGAGGGAAAAAAAAAGTTGTAGATTGCTTTTTAAAGAGAGTTAAAAACACAAGCCAGCAAACGGAAAGCTTTAATGTCCTTGTGAATCGTCTACCACCGTTGCTCTACAAAAACACTACTTCTACTTCCTCTGCTGCAACTTCTCACGCTATATAAGTTCCCCAGGGAAGAAGAAAACCCAGCAGAGAAGCAGATCAGGAGGGAGAAGAAATGGAGGCTGGTTGTACAGATGGCACAATTTGAGGATTTGGGGCATAATATAGACACAATGTCTGTATTTCTGTAGGTTGTTACCAGTATTAGCTACTGATAAGTTTTCCTAAAAAACAGCAAACCCAAACACAAAGAGCTCTTAAATTAAGTGAACTAAGGAACAAAGAAAGCCTTCAACTATGCTTTATAATTGAAAACTAGTACCAATGAGGCAACAGATGAAAGTTATATCTGGGTTACAGCCACCATTTCCCTCAGGCTAGAGCAAGTAGGAGATGAAATATGGATATTTTGGCAAACAGGTGAGCTGAGGTAGGTTGCGAGTACCACACTGACCCAGCGAATCATGGGAAGGAGTCCTGACATTGCCTGTCCACCCTCTCTAAACTGTGGTTCGCAGCTGAGCAATACCTGAATAATGCATATTTGAGGAATACTAGGGGCGATTTTCGCAACAGGACTCAAATGGCCCTGCCTAGGTCATATTTCTGTAACTGGTTAGGCACTGTGCTTTGTTAAGGAGCTTGTGCTAAGCAGAACGCTTGTGTCACGTCATCGGGGTATGAAGATTTCGTTTGGAAGCCTTTGGGATCAGAAGTCCCATACGGTTTCCCCAAGCATTCAGATATCTGTGTTCCTACATCAAAAAGTCTTTTGTTGGCTTTTCAGCTTTTTAAAATGCTGTCAAGACCATTCCTCCCCGTCGTCCCTGTTGTGAGAGAAGTTCAATGTAAGCAAATACTTGGGTGCTCGGTCAAGTCCTGTCCTGCCACAGCCAGGCCTGAAGCAATATCCTGCTCTCACTGACGGCTCTTACTAACGTGCTACGGGCAGGAGCTTTAGATAGGGCTCTTTTGGTCCTATGGCCTCACCATTACCCAAACCACGGACGTGTTTACTAGATTGACTTTCTTGGAGGTATTTCTTACTCTGCTGCACCGTTCACTGAGATTCCACAATAATGACTCATTAAAAGGGCAAGTCGGGGGGGTGGTGGTGTAGGAAGGAAGAAAATACAGAGGAAAATAGGTTTGCAAGAACCTTCCTGTTTATCCATGGCTCAGGGAAAAAAACCAAAAACCAAAAGAGAATACGCACACCCTGGCTACATTATCTTTGCTGGCATAGCACTAGCTTGGCTCTGCAGGTTGAGACTTCAGGCCAAATTCCCCCCTGCCGCAAGCGTGTTTACTTTAGAGGAGTTTACTCGAAAGAGAAATGTGGCCCCTCGAGCCTGGATGCCGGCAGCGTGCTCGCGAGCGCGCACGGGGAACCCCGGGAGCAACGCGCCCCGTCGCTGGCTCTCCGCCACGCCGGCGAGGTTGTTTGCTTCTCGGCAATTAGCAAAGTGGTGGCATCGCTAGAAGGAGCGAATAGACGTAGTCAGCCCTGCGGAGTCTCCAGTTTGCTCTGTGCTCAGCACAGGTCCTTCCGGGTGCGCCGTGGGGCCCTGGCGAGAGCGAGCCCGATTACTGCACCCTGCACCCCTTGGCTGGGGTGGTGGAAAGGGCTTTTAGGAAAGAGGAGGGGGGAAATAATGCTTTGTCTTTCTTCTTCTATAACAAATGTCTCTCCTTTTTGTTTTCAGGGAGGAAAAATGCCAGCTTCTTTAAGGAAACTGCAGCAAATGGCTATTTTTATGGGAGTGTTCAGTGGTGGGGGATGTGTAGTTATGTACACTCTTATGCAAAGTAAGTCTCCTTGCTGTTAGCAACCTTATTTCTCCTCTGCCCCTTTCATTTGCTTTTGTGCAGTGGAAAAATAATAATGTTTTAAGATCTGAAAAGCATGCAAAGCTAAGGGAAGTGTGGCTGATCTTCAGGGACCTGCACGTGTAGGTTCTGCTTTATTTAACCCCAGGGCTGATTCTCTCTAAAGCACTGCTGCACTCATTTCCCGAGGTGGGTGTTACACAGAGGGCCGACTGCTGTGGTCAGGGGAAAATCTCATTTCGGGGAGGTTTCCTGGGGGACTGGGGGGAGGTGGGAAATAAAAGATTGGGCAGTCATGTAGGGTTAGCTTCTTATTGAGATTTTACAAGCGGGCAGGAGAAGAAAACCACATAAAGGAGGTATCTGTGAGCACGTGTTAAAGCCTAGGGCTTTTATCGGCATATCTCTTTGTGGTGCTGGCCCTGAAACACAACTCACCAGTGAGGTGCGAAGGCACCATTAATTTGCCCAGAAGACAACGAAGGGCAGTAAAGAGCAACCAGCATGGAAGAGAACAGGACAAAGAGAGACAACCTAGACAGATAATGCTGCCTTTTATAGACAGATCTAATTGCTACAAGTCTTTGGCTGAGAATTCGAACTATTAGTCTAAGTGATGGTTTTTTTTTTTCTCAAATGGTTTCTAGTTGTTAAGAATCAGACCAGAAACAGGCTTTGCCTCTCTCTCTCTGGGGGTGTTGTAGGGCCTCTTGGCCCTTTGCCTCTCCTTGCTGGTACTATCAGAAGTTACTGCTTTTCACCTACCTTTATATCAGACAAAGCTGCCAGAAAAGTGTAGCCAAGCCTGTTCCTCAGGCCCTCAGATTAGATGTGAAACCTCCTCTTCATTTTACACGTATTAATAACAAATCAGACAAGGCTGGAAAGCAGGCCTTAATTTCAGGCAGCTCGTGCCCTCAAGCTCTGGAGTATATGACAGATATATGATCCTCTTATGCTTTTAAATATTGAATCTGGCTTTAACAAGGACATTAGCATTTTTTTAATTTTCCGTTGCAGCACTGTGATCTAGCAGTCTCTGAAAATATTCCACCCCCTGTGCTAATGAAAGTAAAACAGCTCTTTCCCCAAATCACTTAGCTGTATAGTCAAGTGACTCAACGTGATGGCCAGTTCTTTTTAAAAAAACGTCTTGCCCTGCTGCACTATTGATGGCCATGGAGTATCTCTCTGGGGACGTCCTTTTCTAGCAACCAACGGATCGGGATGCTGCCGGGCAGCAAACCAGCGTGGCCTCCTCCCCCTGGTCTCGGAGGCATCTTCTCCCAAGGGGTTCAAGCACCAGCTCCGTTCGTCACTTTTATGTTTCTGAGATGCTCGTGCAATTGGGGAAAAGAGGCGCATTTCAGACTGGGAGCGCGGGGGAAGGCAAGGGGCGAGTAGCCGCAGTGCAGGGTTCAGCTCTGGGTGTCTCAGCTGTACTGGGACTCGCGAGGAGCAAGCGCAGCAGTGGGAGTAGGGGCAGAGGGGGGCTTCCCTCCCCTTCCTTCACGCTGAAAGGGTTTGTATGCACACAGTCCCTCTAAAAGCTGGTACAAACACTCAGGTAGTCACATTTCTACTCTCCGTCTTCACCTCCACTCCTGCTTTATGGCAGCAGTCTCCCTAGCCAACACCACTATTCTTTCAGCTTTCCTACCAAAAACATGCAGACAAACAGATTAATTGGGCAGTTTACAGGCCAATACTTGGGCCAAGACACTAAGAAGGTACCGGTGTCTGCTGGGAACAGCTGAAAAGGGGCACTGGGAAACTAGCACCAGTTTCTCCTCCAGCCTGGAGGAGAGGCACAACACACTTAACGTTGCCTGGTGGCTGCATGCCGCAGTCCGCAGGCGCTGTGGTGCCCTGTGATCGCCCCAGGGTGCTGGAGCCAAGGAGGACCAGCACCGATGCAGCGCAGCAAAACTGCTGGTGGGCCAACTGGGTGCTGCCTGCTCGCAAGGGAAGCCTCTAATTCGGGACAGTGGGCAGCTCTGAGTGCAACACAAGAGGGGCAAGACCAGGAAAGGGATCCAAGCCCTTGTTTAAATAAAACTCCTTGGAAGGCGAGAGCGAAATTGCTGGAGTCAGATTTTCACACATGCACACTCTTAGCATTACACTGCTCTTCGTCTTGTCAGCGGGAGTGAAATTCGGCTGGGGAGAAGCACATCTGAAAATCGCAGCAGGCAAATCTTAAAACTTTTCAAGCAAACCTCTGCCTCCATACAGAGGGCCGGGCTGGTTTCCAGCCTCACAGCTCGGCACTGTGCACTGGTCCCCGACGGACAGCTTTTCCATAGCCATCCGTAGCGACCAGACATTGATAAAGAGCAATTTGCCACAATTTGTGCTCCATATGCCAACACTGCAGTGCCCGGTCTGCTGTGCTGTTGTTGCTGGTTGACCATTAACTTTAATGGCATTTCCTTGTGCCTCCCTTTTAGCGTTGTCTTCCCTAGAGTTGCAGCTTCGTGGCCGCCACTTGAAAGGCTGTATCAAAACCACAGCAAGGGTTTCATAGCAGCGGCAGCTGTTGCTGTCCCACATCAATGTCAGTGAAATAGTCTCCATTCTTCAAATTTTTTCTGTACCTCCTTTAAAGACATTGAATTACATTCAGAATGTTTCCAGTTGTTCATCCTTACGCCTTTTCTTTTTTTTTTTTTGTCTTTTTTTTCCTTTTAGATGACCTGCAGACATGTGAAAAGCAGGGACACTCAGCCTTAAAGTGTATGTCAGTACAGAACGGGCTACACTCGGTGCTCCTTTTCACTTAGATACGTTGAACGATGTTTTGTTTCAGCCCCGCTTCGCTGATGTAAGGGTTGGTTTCCTCCTTCAGCCAGATCTCTCCTAGTTAATCGTTTCGAACTGTTTTTCAGGGAGGATGTGGGAGTCTGGAGGAAATGTCTTGTCTTTTTCTTTTTTTACTGATGTTTTGATTCCAAGTGGACTGTCTCCTCACTATCCTGTTGTTTCTCTCATCTAGAAAGTTTTGCCAGGACCCAGTATTATCAGCAGGCTTTGGAGCAACTGAACAACCACCCTGCTGCCCTGGAAGCGCTGGGTGCTCCCCCTCTTAAGGTTCACAACATCCGACTGACAGACGGGAGTAATCGCGTGGACACAGAAAGAGCACAGGTAACGGTGGGGAGGCTGCGTCGCGGGATGGCTTCCCAAAGAGGCAGCACGGGTGGCGAGAGATCAGCAGGGGGGTTTCCAGCAGGACTCGGGAGCACAAGCCCCATTGGGAGGCAGTAGGCTGGGGCACCAGCTGATCTGGGAGACGGACGGATGCCCAAAGCAGAGATCCAGTGCGCTAATGTGAGCGACTGGAAACAGCAAGAACGACACCTTCATTTTGTGCTGCATGGGCACATCGCAGAGTGCCAAGGGACCTCCTAAGTCCGTGAATCCATCTCCTGCTGCTGTAGGCCACAAAATCCTTTTCAGAAATACATCAAGACCATCCTTTAAAATAGCGGGTGCTGCCTTCTCCCCCTTCTCCATTTGATCCCTGTTAGTTTTTAAAGCTTTGTCCAGATCAGAGTTTTATAGTCACTCACAAGCTGCGCTATGGTACAGCCCACGAGGTATGTTTTTAAAAGCACCTGCAAGTCTGCAGCGTGGAGGACGACTGCCTTGTGTGGGGCTGAGCACTGAGATTACACAGTCACCGGAGAATGCTGCCCTGGGTGCTAACACATTGCACAAGGCTGACTTGCGTCAGCACAGGGTTGGGCTGAGGCAAACCTCACAAATACAAGTCCACATCCACTCTGTGCTGCTGTCTGAAAAGGACACCCGTCCTTTACATCAGTGCTGCTGCTCAGAGACTTAAAAAGGAAGTTTTTAGTCAAGAACTGGCTGTTCCTCCTTGATTTTGCTGGAGATCCAAGAGGTCACTAGAGAGCTCTTCAGGCAACTCACTGAGAGAGTTTGTCACGTTTGAATCATAAAGTTCCTTCTGATTCTTCTGCATGTTTGTGAGTCCTAGCTACCAACTAAGAGCGGTAGGCAATGGGGCAGAGAGCGCAGGTGAAGGATGGGGACTGCCAAGGGTAAGAAAGTCAAGCTTTAACCAGTTCAAGTCAAATTCCACTTTCCATCTCACACCAGTCAGGCTTTGCCTGCATGATACCCAAGGCCAAAATGTTTCTTCGTTTTCCAGGTTTTTAGAGAATTTACCAGGCAATATTTGTAAGACCAAAAGCATGGGAACAACCTCTTATGTTGATCAAAAAGAACATAACCTTTCCCACTAATTTTTCCCTATGTCACCTTTTAAGAATGCTACTCATTTGAGTGACTCAGGGTGAAATCAAAACCCTGCCTTCTGCAGACCTCACCCAAGACACCTACCGCCAACTTTCTTTTCCACTTTTCGTGCTCTCAGTCGCAATGACCATTCGTGTTCCTCGTGAAATAAACTAGTTAATCATCACCACAGATGATATCATAGATTGATTTACTGACTCAGCTCCACAACATTCCTAATTCCTGCCTACTGGACCCCTTTGAAAAGGCTTGGTGTTTCCAGTTGTACAAGCAGCAAACACTACACCTGGAACATGTCTTTTATTCAAACATTAGACTGTGTACAATTAGCTGTGGTCAGTGCTGCAGCTCTTCGCCTTGTTTATAAACTAACGGAATGGTAGAATTTGTGATGCTGACAAAATAATCGAACGTCTCATTGCCGTGATGGATGTTAATGGACCGATCTGTAGAACATCTCAATCTATAGGCTTGTTATGATTATAGGAAGGTCTTAACACAATACAGGTCACCTCTGGATCACCACACGTTCTGGTAAGGAAAGGTGTTCACTCATAAATATTTCAGAGAGTGAGTGGCTTTCCCTGGGGATAGCAGCTATAACGCAGAACATTCTTTTAGCATAGATCAATGTGTGCCAGAACAGATATACTCATATAGCCATGCACACATTAGCCATTAGAAAAGCCTAGTGAAACTCTGAAATGCATTAAAAAAAAAAAAAATCAGAGTTTAAGTTGAGAGGAAGGTAGCTGTGTTGCTTCATTGGCTGTAGGAGGAGTGAATATCCATTGTAATAATATGCTTCATTGAGTCTTTAACAGCAGTTTTACATCTGCAGATAAAGTTACCTGTATCTGGAACAAAATCAGCAGGGTACCTCTACATTCATTCAGAAATGGACCATTCGCGTCGCTGGTACGTACTGGGGGAGGGCCTGGGAGTCCTTTATAGATGCAGGGATTAGAAACAGTAGGAGAAAACAGTGGAGTAGGACAGGATATTTGGTTTAGTCATCCGTGTTGCTGAAATCATGCACACAAAGGAAGAGGAAATTCACGTCTGAAGATCTTGTGAAAGGTTATTACCATCATTATGACAAAAATGTAAATTACTCAAGAAATATGTTGAATGCATCCCTATGAGTACTAATTTAAAAACAACTGGTGCCATTTATTTGTGCGAAGTGTTGCGTCCCACAGACAAAAGCTTAGTGCACATGTTAGTACCGGGGGCCAGCATAGCATATTGTTCCCTCTCAGACCTCCTCCCTAAGGAGATGCAGAGGCAGCTGAACAGCAGTCCTGACTCTAGTCTATTACCATGTACTGCAGTAGGGGAATGTCTCGCATATTGTATCAGAGCAGATCAAGGTGAGCTAAAAATCTTGCAGTTTTTTTCAAGTTCCTCAATAAACATAGTCCTTATAGTAGGAAAAAAAAAAAAGTGCCAGAACAGATACATTATAGTGGAAAGGTGCTCTGACTCCATATCAGTATTAGCAACTTTACATTTTGGCACTACTGAAGCTTGGAAATCTCCCTTTTCAAGGCAAAACTGATTTCAAGGACTGAGCAAATAATCAGTACCTGAATTCAAAGTCCATCTTCCATTGCAAAAGAGGAACTGTTAATAGATGAAAACCTCCTCACACTTGCTTGTCCTTGGAGTTTGTTAGACGCTTCTGTTAACTCTATTTAGAAATCCAAAGCTACAGCATTTTGCTCAGCTGCCACCAGCCATATGGTATTGTTTTCTTTTCACAATTCGATAAGCACAACTTGCTAGATTTCTCTTCAGAAGGGAGGCAAAGTGTAAAATTATGGGAGGAGGGCACTTATCTGGGACTTAGGAGGCTCGGGGCCAGACCTGGCCTCCTCCCAAGTGACCAGAGACACTGCAGAGGCCCCTGAACACCTTTCTTGCAGCCCTGGGCTCTGATCTCCTCGCTCCTCATTATCCCCTACTGACAGATGGAGGGAAATAACCCCTCTCTCCTATCTCAGAGTTACTGCAAGAATAACTGAGGATTGCAAGATGTTAAAATGAAGTAGTAGTTGAAGAATATAAATATCTCCCACAGTTTTGTTTTAATATGAGCTCTCCAAGCATTCCCATCTGCAGGACTGAGAAGAAAAGAAAAAATATCTCTTGCAGAAAGATTTGTGGCACACAAATCTTTCGAATTCAACTGTCATAGCTTAGGTACAGGGCCCTGCACACAGCTCCACTTGGTGATAGACAGGGCTTAATGTCCTTGTACCTGGCTGAGGAACGAAAAGTAAAATGGCTCGTTCCCCCTGGTCCGTGGAGAGGAGCTCCTGCAGTCCCTGAGAGGAACAGCAAGACTGTTTGTGGGCCGCCCTGGTGCGGCTCTGCAGAGCGTGCAGGCATTTGCTGCCAGCAGAGACCCAGGAGACAAAGAGACCAATATTCAGACACAGCTACATGACATTGGGAGGTTAGCTCTCCATACAAAAGTAATCCAGGCTCCTAAGCCACTTAAACGCTTCAGGCTGTGAGCGGCCAGCCTGTCTACCAGGGTCGTTCTTCTCCTGTCCTTTTTTTAAAAAGTGGCCAACTGAGAAAAGGAAAATTTAGAGGAGGTGAGCGCATCCGGGCCTGCCAGAGGGAGCGTGTGCTCATGTGTTGGCAGCGCAGGCACTGGGAGGGCACGGGCGCTGGGCTGATGGACTCGATGGCACGATGATGCTTACAGTCCCCTGCCCCGAATGAAGGCAGCAGGAGGAAAAGCCGAGAGCCCGGGCTGTGCCGAGGAGCGCGACCGACTGCTCTTCTGAGCCCTGCGCTTGCCGAGTCGGATGGAGCTGGAGGCTGGTGAGCGAAGAGCCCTGCTGCAGATTCATCGCACAGAGGTGCAGCAGCCTAATTACCTAATTGTACGCACTCAGCATTGACTTCCGTAAAAGTGGAGCTGGGCGAGTGCCAGCAGCTTTTGAAAATCCCATTTTAGTATGCTGAAATAATAGTCCGTCCCAGCTGGAAAACCAGCACGAGCAGGCTTACAGAAGCGGGTCTGGAGCAAAGCGTCGAGGGAAGCAAAAGGCTCCCCTCAATCTGCAACAAATGCAGTTTTCCGTCTCCTTTGACTAACCACCATCCTACCCTGTCAGTTTTTCAGCAATCACACTGAGTGATCACACGATCTTTAAACTCTTCCAAGCTAGGATAATTCCTTAGCAACACGGTCCGGCTCCAAGGCCGGAGTGGAGCGAAGCAAGGAATGCACCGACAGGATGAAGAAGAAGAAAAGCCCAGGGTGAGGGGGGGAGAGAGGAATGTCCTATCTAAAAATAGCTGTCAGGGTTTTATTCAGGTTGCAACAAATAGGAACGCACAGGCCAGATTTTCAAATCTGGGCTGTGGGAAGCTATTAGGGAAAATAGCTGTTAGAAACGGGCGCTTGCAAACCCAGGTTTAAAACACTTGAGAGAATTTTTAAGAGCAGGGCATGCATGGAGTGTTTTGTTCCTCCATGCCAGCTGTTTCTAGACCTAACTTTACTACTATATTAAAACTGATTGAAGCAAGTTAAAAGCTCTTTTGGTTTCTGTCAGCTGGTGCCTCCAGGATGTCACCTTGAAGCTCCGGGATGGTCAGAATATTCCAGTTTACCACTCCCCTGTGGAAAGCATCAGCATGCAAGAAAGCTAAAAATCAAAGGCAGCTGCTTCTCCACCTCCCATTGAACCGAAGAAGCCATTAATTGATTGCATCACACTGTGTACGTGGATGTACACTGCTGTCACAAGCAGACAATTTTGCTGAAGTGGGTGTTCTGAAGACAATTTTCTCTCTAACGTTGGCCTAATCATTGCCATAATTGTCATTTATTTGGTTTGTTGCTTTATTTGTACAGCAGAAGCCTAAAATAAAGATTTTGCAACAAGAGCTGCTGTTCCAGAGAAGTCATGTGTTATGTCTTGTATGTGCTGGTATTGTGAATTGAGTTTGAAATAAATAAACAAACTGCCAGGAAACTGAGGTTTTCTTAGTCTGGGTTGCTGTCTCACGACTAGAAAACTAAATCAACTTGTCAAAACGACTCTCACGCTCTTCTGTTTTCCCCCACTTCTCAACAAGGCATTACCTAAAGCAGAATTACCTAAAGCAGGTAAAGTGAAGCTCAAGTGGGATCCCCCTCCTCTGCACAAGAATAAGTCACATATCAAGTAGGTCTGCATCCTCACAAGTATCATTAAAAAGATCACAAGACAGCAACGACCACTCATCCTAGCTTATGAATTCCAGGAATTTCTCAGTGCTTCCACTGTTCCCACCGTTCACTCTAAAAGATACTCAGGATACGCCAGTGTTTCATATAAGCACTGTCAAACATGGGTTTGGGAGAGCGCATGCATTCCCTCAGTTCTGTTTAGGGAGAACAGCAGTAGGTAGGTACAGTAGAGGTGAAATACTGACGCAGTTCAACAGACTACAAGAAGAGATTTTGATTTTGCCATGATTTTGTCAGTACTGCAGATCCGCTCACAGAGTAAAGAATTGTCCATCAGAAGCAAGTCAAGGAATGAGCACAAAGGAAAAAATAACCAAAAAACTGCACAATCTAACAAACTGTAAAGCCTAAGTGCAGTCTGAGAAGGTGAGGAGACAAGTATCTGGCATGCCTTCATACCAAAGGGAATTATTACTGTGAATTATTGCAATGGGCAGAGCATTTACCAGCTTAAACAAGATGTAGCTCGTGAAGGCTTAGAGTTTATACCGCTCAACTCCAATTTTACTCCATCTCAACATCCAAATACGAATCCCAGAAATCCATCAAAGGCACAGGCAGTGCAAAGCCCTTCATGAGTAATCAGCATGAAATGAAGAAGGGAGAGCTAGTGCAAAGGACTGTTAAAGACCAGCGAGCATCTTCCTGCTCTACAGTGACCCACCAAACGAGGTGAAGTGGCTTTTTGAACAAGTATAAATGATTGCAGACCACCTGCCAAAGCAAACGAAAGAAAGGACTAAAGTGTCACAGCAAACGCATCTCTGCGACAAAATGCTTTTAGAAAATAAAACCACGTGAGATTTAGTCTGGGATTCACAGAACTCTTACCGGTCAGTGGCTTTTGAGAGCAACTGCTGCACTGCAACCCCAGCCTATTCAGTGCCTCCCCACTTCTGTGCTAGGAAATCACGTCTGGCCCATACTGCAATTCACCTTCCGTTTGTCACCACTGTGCACTTCGTTAGCCTGGGATTTCCAGTGGTTGGGAGGTGCACAAAGGTCAAAGATACCGGGCCACAACCACCCAGTACTGTAAAATTTCCTCATCGCTGTTCTGTATCTTGAGCAGACACTCATGATATCTCAAGCCCGGCTTCACAAATCCCTGGGGACTGCACTGCATCACCAGTTGGCCTGGCTCTAAACTTTAGTTGTCCCAGGCCTTAAGGAAACGTTCCCACACAAATCTTCCTAGCAAAAGAGGAGATTTTATTATCTTGCTCCAGGGAAGCAGAGTTTATGAACAGGCTGTTTCCTTCATTTTCCCCTTGAAACCTTGCAGGGCATCCCTTTAACTGTAGCCACTTACGATCATCCCGCTGCCTGCATGGGTTCACCCAAGCTATGAGAAAAGGCAGCACCATCATATCTTATCAGCTGCCCTACAAATCTTTAAGAGGAAGAAGCACTGGACAGGGCTGGAAGCCAGCAGATCAGGGGAGTGGGGCAAGAGAAAAGTGAAAAGGCATATTACTCATTTACAGTAAAATTCCTGCGTTTGTCTTACTATCTAACAGCAAACAAAAACTTTCTTACCTCTTGACCTTGAAGAGCCTCAGCAGCCACTTCCTCTCCACGTTTGAGCTGTATTATTAAGATGTACATATTCAAAGGGGGTAAAAAGCAACAAGATTTTTTGTTCAGTGCTGAGCTACATCAGCCATGCAGCTCCCATTAGGCACTGCGCAGCCCTCGGCTGCTGCTGCTGCTTGCAGAGGGGACACAGGTGCAGCAGGAGCAGCCAAGCGAGCGAGCCCACACCAGGGGAACTGCGAGAGCAAAGGCCTCTAAACCAGCAGCAGCTGCTGAAACCCCAGACAATCTCAAGAGGCCTCCTGTGCACCTTCTTGGCCCTGCGGTCTTTCCTTCTAAGGCACGCCAGAGCAGAGTACCTTGCATTTGGCTTCTTCAGTAGGTCATTGAAGCTTTAATTTGCCCATTGCAATTGTGTTGCATGTCACCAAAAACCAAGTCTGGATAATTGCATTTTGGAAACATTCCTCTTTTGATAAAAGGCCCCGAAAAGACAGGTAAAGTCCTTTAGAAAGGCATTCTTTTCTAATCACAGTATAGTTGGGGTTGGAAGAGACCTCTGGAGACTGTCTGATTTGATTGCTCAAGCAGGGCCATCTAGAGCAGTTTGCTCAGGGCTGTGTGCACAGTTTGGTTTTGAGCATATCCAAGGATGGGGACTCCCACAGCCTCTCTGGGCAACCTGCTCCAGTGTTCGACCACCCTTAGAGTAAAAAATTTTTTCTTATGTTTAAACAGAATTTCCTGTTTTTCAGTTTGCATCCATTTTCTCTCATCCTGTCACTGGGCACCACTGGGAAGAGCCTGGCTCTGTCTTCTTTGCCACCCCCCTAAAATTAGATATTCATACACAGAAAAAATCCCCCTGAGCCTTCTCTTCTCCAGGCTATGAGCAAACCCAGCTCTCTCAGTCTCTCCTCATATGACAGGTACTGCAACCCCTTAATCAGCTTAATCATTTGTTAATTTATTTTAAGTTCACTGGAAACTTTCTATAGCCCCTTTCCAGTTGTTGACATGATTAAAACAACCTACATCATTATAGCCTTTGCTGGATTGCACATTTGAGTTCCTTAAAGTTTGATTTTAATAGCTTTTGACCTGCAGTCATCACCCTGAAGAAAGTTATCAAGAAGGCAGACTAATCAGAGCAAGAACTTAATTTGCAACACAGGAACAATAAGCAAATAATGCTTAGCAGAATCATACAATATTTGCACTTACTTAATATGGAGGTGACTAGTGCACGGGGGCTATATATAATAGCATGTACTGTAAAAGCAGTAGCTTGATACAACCTAAGCAGGTGCATGTGTTGTTTTTTGAGCATGATTCTCTAGGCAGTAATATGCTTTTGGCAAACTCATTGGCCTGTCAGTTCATTTTCTAGCTCAGACTGATTTTGTGTGCTGCACAAGGAACATTAATCATTTTGATTCACTTCCCCACTTGGAAAAGGACTGGATCTAGCCTCACTTCCATCATTTGCATGTATCTTTTCTGCTTTTCAAAGTGAAGTAATTTTCCTCCGTCTTCTGTAAAACTTGCTACAAAGTTCCCAGCAGCTAGTGGACCTATGACAGTCCCATAGCACCAGTACTGATGGAGACCTGTCAGTCTTGGTATGTTACCTTGGAAGATGCATCACACCTGGCTGAAACACTTTTAGTTCACTTTATGTGGAACAAAGTATATAAAACGCTAGATTCATGTCATTTTTATATTAATGTAATGCAGTATCTGTTAACTGGCTTAAAAAAAGAAAAAGCTTTAAAAATGAGCACCTTTATTTGATGACTTGTGTGAGACAGCCTTTGCCTCTCTGCCTGTTAAAGCTCAAGACAAGAACTTCCATCCAACAAATGACCCAGCTAGATTTCACTGGTAGCAATCAGTAAGGTGATATCCCCCAATGGTTCAGGTTTTCTTGTAAGCAGTTGGTAAAAGGCCCCTGTGTTATTCAGTCTATCTGCTGGGATTACAAATTCATCTGAAAGATGGGGTACATCTGGTTTCAGTACACAGCCAGATTTTTGTGATTGCACAAGCAAGGAATCAACCCAGCCTAATTTCCCTATATTTACAGAAAGGAAAATAATCCTCTCAAGGAATAAGTTCCCTCTCCTCCTCCTAATTTTGCAGTAACTGTTGTGGTGCTGATGCTTTGTTTTACTTTGAAAAAGCCTCACCTTTTCTGAAAGCTTCCAGGTTATGTATTTATAGAACCAAATTATTTTACTATTATAAAGCTATAAAGTTGTCAGTTGTCTTATAGTAGGAAGAATTAATGAAATTAGTGTTAGAGAGAGAAATTCCTTTCCATAGAAAAGGAAATAACTTTTTGCACCCAACATCTATTTGATGTTGTGACTTCCCCACAGGGGGTCACAGAAACCAAATATATGTATAAAGTCCTGGATACAGATTGTGGAAGGGATGCTGAAGCTTCTGAAATGTGTTCAGAGTACACATTTCTGCATGCTTTGTTAAAACTAGATTAATTTGCATCTGCTCCAGCATGTCCATCCTGGATATACACTCATCCTAAATGTCAATGAATGCTGTGTAATTTAAGTGCCATCTTTCCAACCCAACACCTTCAGCCCAAATGGTTTCCTCCTGCCAGACATCTGAAATAATACTCCTGAATTTAATGGCAATACATTTCTAGGGCACACTAAGGAAAAAATAAACAAACCAGGAACATTTACATGAGTAATATGATTATATTTATTAATCCCAATGACAGCTTAATTCAACATTTGTAAGTGTTGTATCATGAAGATCTCTACAATGCAAACAATAAGTATTGCTTTAGAATGGAAAGGATTATTGATGTACTTTGTGCAGCCAATACAAATTTAACAAATGCTTAATTCAGAAAACTAAAATATCAGTAATCTTGTTATATGGATGTTGAGAAACATCCAAAAGTTCCTGGAGAGAGGCAAGGACATTTGAACAAAAGACTCCATATAACACACTACTACCCAGTTTTGGAGATAAAAATCCAATTGTTACTCAAAGCCAAATGTGAAGGTGTACAGTCACCAAACAGAGAAGAGAATTTTAAAGTTGCTATAGTTCACAGTGCCACATTTTACTTGCTTTAGCTTTAACAACGATTCCAGTAATCATTCAGCCATTTAGTCTGAGATAAGCTAGCACAACTTTTGGAATTCTGTTTCAAATCAACAAATGTTGACTTTAAGAAAGCTTTTTTTTTAACCTTATGTTTGAAAGTTCTCCCAATGAAGAACTCCAAAGCTGCTGTTCAAGAAGTAAGTTTCAGTTATTGTAAAGCTTCTGAAACAGTAAATATATTGACAGAAGTATAATAAGCTGGCAGCATTTCTTTCAACTGTAGCACTATCTTCCAAGACAAGTTCCTGAAGCACCTTGAGAGAGCCTAAGCCAAGGAATAAAATGGTCCAATGCCACCTCTTCCTCCCTTCTCCTGTAGAGGAGGGGCAGTTAATTTCTGTTCCTGTTTCCTAACTGACATCAAGATTTATCTGGTAGATTACAAGCTGGAATTCACTGGTTTTGCATCTAGGTACCCTCAATTAGGGAAGAAAAAAGGTTTAAAAAAAAAAAGAGACAAATCACAATAAAAATTCTGCTTTGGACAAAGAATGAGATTTTTTTTTTTTTAAATAGACCTTCTAGTTTTGATGACTATAAGTCTATAGCCTCTTCCAAAAAAAAAAAAACCCAAACACCCATAAACATAGCAGTCAGCAAAAAGTAGAGGCAAAGCAACAGGCTTTGCTTTCAACTAGATGTATTTGCTGTTCATGCCAACAACTGCAAGGGATGTAAAGGTCTGCACCTTTGAGCCCCATCATACTGTCCCCCACCCCCAAACCTCCACAGCACATAGGGAGCTGATAGTTCAGGTCTCTTAGGCAAACACCTAGAATTAACAATTCTCTAGCCGTTTCTAAGAACATCTTCCAGTCCTTTGAGTCCTCCATTCAAGTAAATAGTAGCCTTGCTCCAAACCTCACGAAGGCAAGCCATGGCACTTGTACGCACAGTGCACTCAGCAGGTGCTGAGTGCAACAGAAAGCGTGGGCAATGCTATTTCAGTCCTGAAGGAACGAGGGTCAAGGAGTTTATTCCTTCCCTCTCTCCTTCCACCAAGCATAAGCAGCTTCCCCTTCTCACCCCCCACCCCTGCCCCGATAAATTGTGTGTGTAAAGGCAGTCCTGCACATTCAAGGAGCTGCAGAAAACCAGCTGTTCTTCACAAGCTAGTGATTTGTCCTCAGTCTTAATGGATCAGTTTACTAGTACCTAAACCTCTCAAAACCATTAACCTCGATAGCTGCTTTCTACAGTGTAGAGAAAGAATACCTCATTTACAGCTTTACCCACACTTACAGTGGAAGTGAAATAGCTTCAAATGCAAGTGGAACTGGCTGATAGTCCTGCAGTAATACATTATAGAAATTTTTTCCTATTAAAGGGCCAATTTAAGATGCCCTGCTTATAACTTATACTATTAAACTTTCACAACTTTATACAAATTCTTAATGACATAAAACACTGTAAAAAACACCTTAAGGCACAAAAAGTTAAATGAAAATGCAGCACTGGAAATCTTAAAGCAGCCAATTCAAAAGAAGCTGGCCTTGTAACAAGTACACCATTGCATTTATACATGTTAAGCTTCATTGTCATACATTAAAAAGAGTAAATATAGGACAAAGTGTATGCTGCTCAGCATCTACTCTTTTTCATTAGTACCAACCCACATCCCTAACTGTGAGGGCTAATCTGTGGTTACACATAGGAATTAAAACAGCTTACAGGTTCATCGAATGATTTGTCATGAGTAAGCATGAACTACTAGTTTGTATTTAGGTATCCAGATAGAGCAACATAAAATTGTGCTTTAAAACTGTGGAATGTGGCATGTTTCAGTGCTTTGCTCAACCTGTTTAAAAACAGGTCAAAGTTTTCCAGCTTCAATCACTGCAATTTTAATTGTGCACAGATCAACTTCAAAAGTTAATGCAACCCAAACAGATGCGTCTTGGGCAAATGACTGAAGAGATATGACTATGAAGAATACTGGCTTGATTAAGAAGTCTAACAGTGGTCAGCACTGTGGGTAGAAAAACACGCGTAATGCCTCTATTGTTCATCACTTCCATAAATGCCTATATAACACAAGTACTCTATGGGCTCAAAGATTTTTGTTTAACTTCTATTAATTACCAGCCACAGTTATCCAAATAAATCTTTCATGGTATGAGTCTACCAGGTTCCTGTCTACAGGAACTAAACAGCAAATGACCCATTTCTCCCATGTACTAAAGGCACCTCTGGATTACAATATAAAGCACATCCAAATTATTCAAGTACTACTGGATGCTTTATTATACGAAGGCCTTCATGGAGGGAGATGTTGTCCCACCTGCATGTATATTCAATATGTAATTCAACAGGAGAAACATCTTAATGAAACTGTTTAATTTGGGTGCATTTTCTTCTGATGTGGCTTCAAATAAAGGCAACCAGACCACTGACAATGAAGCATTATAGGAAAATGCACATTGCCTCACACTAGGTGCCAGTGCTTTTCCTTCATTTTTGTCTTTACTAATGCTTTCTCTCACCCTTATAGTAATACCAATTAGACCACACCAATATTGTTTGTGTTATTAATAAAGCCATTTACCTTTTGTGTGAAGGAGGAACTGTAATATTAGCACAGAGCATTGAACTCCTGTTCATTAAAAAGAGTAAGCACATTCCTGGTACATGTTTGAAATTAGGTAAGAGTCTGCAGCAACACAAAAAAAGGAAAAAGTAGTTTAAGCATTTCTATTCATTGTTTTATAGCAAGAAAACTTTTGTCAGGGTTTTATTATAAAGGAACAGCATAAAGAAACCAAATAAATAGTTGAATAGTTAACAGTATGCAATATAATAGCACTACATGTCAATTACATAAAAATTTAAACTTTGGAACAGCATCAATATGAAAGATTTCTTAGAAAACTAGGACTCAGTCCAAGAGCCTCATACCTGTAACACAACAAAACAGTTTTGATGCCCAGGTGGTCCCTGCTTTATCTTCTAATGGGGGACCCTGTCCATTGAGAAATATGACCCATCCATGCAGCTCCCCTAATCCCACTCTTCCCCATCATACACATACTGTTTTAAACAAATGTCTAAGGGAGAGTGATTGGGAAGCACAAAGTATGAGGTATGCTTCATTACTTGAAAGGGGTACTTCTTCCTCAGCTGATGGCTATATTGAACAAGGTTATGCAACTTAGCCTACGGATGCTTCTTTCTTCCTTAAAGCAGTTGTTAGAGGAACAGAAAGAAGTCAGCAATGACCTCATGCTCCCAGTAAAACCCTAGCTGGGTCCAGGGCAGGGCAGGGAGGGTACGCTCCTCCAGGGCTCATTCATCAGTTGGACCAACATTTTAGAGTCAGTGGAGAGAATACCAGTAACTTTAGTAGAGCTACTTCAGGCCCCATGTCATTTTTCCCCTCTCATCAACACACCTCCTGTAGTCATCTTGAGAGAGATTTTATTAGGGCCTCTAGCCCAGCACAGAAGGGAGCAGTCTCTGCTGGTTCTCAGGAGTGACTTATTTACATAAACTTGTCACTCTCCAGACCAGGATCTTACTGTGTTCCCAAATAAAGAAGCATCTCCACTGTAATCTGGAATTCTTCACTGATACAGATTTCTTTTCCTAGGGGACATGTCTATCTCTTGCTAGATAAACCCAGCTCACAGTTAGCTTGGCTCCAAGCCAGATGAGTCTGGGTCTTCAACTTGATGCAAACTCAAAGAAATATATACAAGGTATAGCTTCAAAATCTGTATGTCAAACCACTCAAACTCTCTTCCTGTACAATTGTTAAATCAGTAGATAGTTCCACTGAAGTCAGGAGTGCTAAAGGTGTTTGAAGAAAACCCAGCATCACATATTTGCATTAAATGGTAGATAGAATGTATCCTAAAAAAATAGTCCTCTTTTGGCCTCTGTCACTGAAACACTTCCTGTAACATCAACTTCTCCAGAACACTGGAACAGTTAACAAAGACTCTGCTATCCAGAGACAAAAAAAAAATCGGAAATAAAAATGCAAACAAAAGCAAGCTTTTATCCTTGTTAAATTCCTGTCAGCCACTTGAAATCTTGTTTAACTGTTCCATGAAATTAAAACCTTGGCACATTTCCCTTAGTTGCCATTTATGAAAGTTTTCCTTTATCTAGAACATCTATTGCATATCAGAGATTCCCTTGGCTAAGATACTTTTGTTGTTTAGTAGAAACCACTGCCCTTCAGTTAAAGCTATGAAGCTCCATACAGTTCAGTAAATGAATTCTCCTGGTAACTCTTGCAGCAATGGTTCCTCAAACTTAAATCGTTTGGAAATGGCTTTCTGCTCAGTTACTTTTTCTTTTTCTGACTGCCTACATTGTCCCACGGTGTATGAAGCCACTACAATTAGTTCTTCTGTTACTATTGATTCTTCCTCTGCAGTTTTCTCAGCATCTACAGATTTTTCAGAGGCAGAATCTGCATCTCTCTGGACAACATCACTGGTCTCTTCTCCTGCATTCTTACTCCAGACCCTGTGAGCAGGATTATCACTTTGTTCTAGCCATGGATGTTGAAGACATTCTTCAGCAGTTGCCCGCTCCCTGAGGGGGAAAGAAATTGTTAAAAGAAATGTCAAAGTGAACTTGAAATGTAATACTTTGAATATGAAATCCATACAAATTATTCCAAGGATATGACTGCATTAAACGCCGACTGATGCAACTACTAAAGTTGTGCTGATTACTGTCTTTTGCCAAAGAAGACCAACTACAACCCAAGGAAATGAATTACTAAGTTATTTAAAATAAAGAAATTAGTAGAACCTCAATAGTTGAATATATATAAAATTTATAAATATTTTATATAAGACTAGCCAACCCTTGCATTCTTCAAGAATCTCCAGAGAGAAAGAGCAAACAATTTCAATAGCTGACAAGTCCCATGAAGACTTGGTTCTACAAATAACACATTTTCTGTTTTGAAGATTGGAATTTCCAATTTGTCTCTTGTTGAGCGAACCAGAAACCAGTAAGGTACTTCACCAAGTACAGAAGGCTCAAAGCAGTGTTCATTTACAATTGACACCAGCACAGTGCATATAGAGAAAGTGAACATACTGCACCACATTTTACTTTGTAACTAATTCATTTTGGAAAATTAAAAACAATTACTAACACTCTGGTACATTCAGAACATGCAAGTTTGGAGGGAAATGGAAAACTTCTTTAGTACGCATAAAAACTAACAGTACATAATGAAATGTTAACAAGCAAAGTTCTCTTATACACTTGCATTTTCCTCTTGATTTTTAAAGTATTTGAAATGAATCCAGTCTGACGTATTAGCATATACAATTATATATTTTACTTACTCAGGTTTCTTAACGAGCAGGGTTTTGATGAAATCCACAGCAGACTCTGATATGAGGTCAAAATCTTCTCCAGAGTAACTTATGTTCATTTGAGATATATTTAAGAACGTTTCTTGCTTATCATCTCCCAAGAATGGTGATATCCCTGTTAACATGACATATGCCAGTACTCCAATACTCCTAATTTAAAAAACAGAAAATGTAAATGCAGGTAATTATTGAAGAGCGTGTGTTTTGTTTGTTTAAAGTTGGTTATGATGGCCATTAGTTTTTTCAACTTACCACATGTCTGTTGCTGTGCTGATTGGGTCGTAACTCAGAATTTCAGGAGCTGTTCAGGGGAAAAAAAAGTGCTATTTTTTGTCATATGCAGACATCACATTCTGTAGTTATATAGTGAAATAACAGGCATGTGATGTAACGTAATAATACAAGCCATCTGGAGCATGACAGTCATTTGAAATAAATACATTTCTATTCAAGTTATTTAAATAGTTACTGTCATTTGTTGGTTTAGAATTAATTTTTCTCCCCGCTCCTTTTACTGTCAACTTTAGAAAGTCACACTAGTCTCTTTCCCAATTAAGGAAACTGCCAACATTTATGGAAAAATGATCTCAATATCCAACATTCCATATTCCCACACTGAAACCCATAAAAAATATACTACACAACTTCTCAAAGATATCTTCAAGTACTTTGAGGTCTGGCATGATTTGATTTTTTTCCTCCCGGAAAAAAAAAGTTTAATGGATGCAAACCTACTAAGGCTAGAATAGTGTACTTAGTAAAAGGCTGAATATGTCTTTTTCAACCTTTAATCCAAGTAATACTTGTTATCATTGCTGGTCAGAGTTATCTAAAGTGTGTACTCATCTGCAACACAGGCACACAGCGATCACTCATTTACCTGGCAAGGCATGTCACTTCCAGCTTTAGAACAGCACCACATCCAAGTAACACTTGAGCCCTTCAACACAAGATCAACTCAGCAAGCCTGGCTTTCAGCAAGTCTGAAGGTAGTTCTAACTCCCCAAAAGCCTGAATAGTTCAGTCCTCAAGGCACCATTGTTTTAGTAACAACTTACCTACATATTCTGGAGTTCCCATAATTTCTCTTAGTTCTTCACTGCTCTTCATTATTCTGGAAAGACCAAAGTCTACTATCTTTATGTCACCCAGAGGGGATTTACTGGTGAGTAGAATATTTTGCGGCTGAAAAACAAAACAAGTAGACTTTTGAGACCACCTAAGCCTAATGTTGATGACAACAGTGTTGTACAATTTTAAGTCATAAGTAGCAAAGATGCATTCTATAATACAAACAATACCCAGAATTTGTTTTACCAGGATGAACATGAAGAGATAGGTAGGCTAAAAGGAGTGGCAGGATTTTAAGTGGATGACTGAGAATCAAGGACCTGCCTTTCTTAGCTTAGAACACACAAAAAAACACATGACAGTAGCTATAATTTAACAACTGCATTTGAAGACCTCCACATCTGCACTTTTACCCCTTCTTGCCAGCTTTCCCCCCCATCCGTCTTGCTTCCTTCTGATAGTGTAAAATCCCTCTTGTTGACGAGTCTTCAAAAACTAATCATATGAAAAAAAACAAAAAAACCCCACAGAACATGTGAAATTACGTTGACTACACCTGTTTAAAGAAAGCCTGTTGCAACAGACCTCAATCTTGTTCAAAGTACAAACAATTGGATTATATAATTTAAACTGAAGAACAGTTTAGAAAATACAGTGGCCTGAAAAACAGGTTTAAGAGCATCACCCTTGGATAAACTTGTTTGCTTTGACGTCACTAAATTCTGGCTGTCATTCTTCAAAGCTGACTTTGTGGCCATGAAGAAGTGCCTTACCTTTTATTTTGAAGGTTACCTCAGTTAAAAAAAATCTGAAAGCTAACCTGAGACAGCAAGTTTTACAGATTTTTTGCAACTGAAGCATGTTGGGGAGGAGGAAGGGAATTCCACACCACCCCCAGGCCATTTGTCACATTGGGTTTCATCACTAACTTTTCCAAAAGAATAAGACGGACAGTTTACACTGCCTTCCCACTTCTGGTAAGCCTGAGTTCCATGAAATAGATGAAATCTTATTTATTTATTGAGGCCCTGGATCATCTTGTATCAGAGATGGTTGAGAAGGAAGGTGGGGAGCAAAAGACTAAGAACACGGAAGCAACTGCTGACCGATAACCTAACTGGATTAACACCACCCACATTTACTCTTTTTCCCTAATCACTGGGCCATCCCCTCTTCATCCCCTAATCAATTATGATGTCATGATTTCACATTGATAGCTTTGATTTTGACACAGAAATAAAACTGTAAAAGAACATTTTTAAAAGCTTGGCCAGTTCTCCTTGCTGCAAGACCTGAATATAATTAAATTGCTTTCATTCCTGAGAAGTTAAGCCACTGGTATTTAAAACTCCATAAAGCTGTCAATCTATTTTCTATTTGTGAATATATGTATTAAGAACAGCTTATTTTTTGCCTACAAACTGGAATCTCGTTGCCATACAAAAGCTTTTGGAACTACACATTACCATATGCTTTACAGTTCACATTTGTTATTCTGTATTTGTATCAGAAAAGCAAACATCCAAAAAAGCTGCTCATGCCTCATTCATTAGCCTCTCGGATATACTTCCTAAAGGGAAATTTAGTCACTTTGTGAAAAGACAAATAGAAAGCATGAGGAAAGCACTCATTCCCTATATCTGAATGAAGAAAGTTTTCAATGAAACCTTTCATGAAACCCTGAAGCTCTATATTGTAATAATCAATATTTCAGTAGATAATGTAGTTGCTAAAAGTTTGTGCGCTTTTTTCCTTTAACTCTCATTAGCCAAGAGGCATTTATATGGCACAAAACCCAACTATAGTACAAGCTAAGTCATAATCCTGATCAATTCATACTGAAGCATCAGCCACTTTCTTCTTTTAAAGAATCGTTATGGGGTTGAAATGAAATGCAGTCTAAATTTCAGTATGAAAGTCTTCATGATACCATAGGCTTTGAGTTAACTAGTTTTCAGCTTAACATAATTTCTCTAAATCTCTAAGAAAAGGAAGATTAATTATTTTTCTATGCCTGTAAAGGCCTTTGTTTTTCCACCAATACTCTAATACATCTAGGTTTGTAGCCTAACCAGCATTAGGCAAAGAGGAAAGATGCCCAGGCCAGAAGCTCTTCTGCTAGTCATTCTAAAAAGGGTCTTCCGCCCTTACCATTAAGCAGTAATGAAATGGCTAATTAAAACTGCCAAGTTACAACACACTTAACTCCCCTACATCTACCTGTACTAGAGGAAGACTCCTAGGTTCCAACTGAGGTAGTCTTTTGTGCACTGAACAAAACAATCCCTGACTGAATAGACAATCTGAACAATGTACTTCACTACACTATCGGTATATAGACAAACACCTAGAAACAGCCAGTGAGTCTAGCCCAATGTCCTGTTAGAACGGTTAGAGATGGACACCTTGGCAAAAATATAAAACAAGGCAAATTAAGTTGTATTCCCCCAGGCATACTGTCAAAGATTAGAAATTTCGGCTTCAGGACTTAAGACACATCAGTTGTACCTCTATCATCATGCTTAAAGGAGTAGCAATGGAAAGCATCTTGTGTTCATAGGTACTAACCAGGAGTCTTAAATTTTACACTTAGAAGTGGGACTAAACTACCATCACATCAAGAAGAGCATAGCCTTCCTGATTTTGTGAACTTCCACAAAAAGGCAGTTTTCAAAATCTGAAAGGAAGTTGCAGCAATATACACAAAGATCTGTTCTCATCTAGAATTTTATTCAAGTCACAAATTTCCAATTAGTATTCTTAATAGAACAGAGGACACAACTCAATCCTACCTTGTAAGCAGAAGTTTTGAAATCTGGTAAACTGATTACTAAATGGCAAAACCCATATTACTGCAAGTTTGCCTTTTTTTTTAAACGAAGATTCTATAAACCCTTAGGCTGAACATTTCTTGTACTTTTAGTTGATTTCAAAAAGAGCATAATTAAAGAAGTATAACAAACATCTTTTAAAAGTGTCCAGTGTTTCACGTTAGATATTTAACTTTCTTACTGTTACAGGTTAACTTTATAATACTGTAAAAAAGGTATTTAGAGCCTTACAAGACAAGACAGGAATTATCCAAGGAATAACAGACAGAAATAGGAAAAATAGAATACCCAGGCTACATTGTGTGCAAAGATAAAGTAGGATTATCAGTCTGCCTTATAAAGAAGTCCTTGAATATTTTTCTTCTTTTCTTTAAGCTATGAAGACAGAACAGCAGTGGAAAAAATGCAACAGAGTCACTAAAGAGTAGACATAGTAAAGTGGCATCATTTTATTCTGCAAAATAAGCAATACAAATTCTAGAAACTGAGAATCAAACAAAACAGATTCCACAGATACCTGGATTCTCTGTATCTGCTTAAAAACACATAGCTATGCCCTAATGGTTTTAGATTTGAATTCCAGATAACAATTAAAATGTTAATTGTTAAAGAAGAAAAAGTCTTTGATTTCCTGGGTTTTCCTCTGGAAAATACATAAGTTGCTACATTTCTATGTAATAAACATTCGGCCTCAATCCACCTGGAATATTCAGTTGGGAAAATTAGTCTGTAATGTACTTTGTAACAGCCACTTCCTTAGTAATCGCATTAATTTACTTTCTGAATACTGCTGTGAGTACATCCTTCAGATAATGATTTTGCTAGTTGTCCTCTCTGTACATAACATCTTGAAAACAATACAGGAAAAAAAGGAAAACAAGTTTGTTGAATAGCCACAGTAATATATACCATGGGAGAGTGCTGCTTGGCACACTCATTCTCCCTGACTCCAGGGCAGTTTAAGGCTCTTTACTTATCTCAGTCGTATGCAAGAGGCAGCAAGTCCTCCCTTAGAGGAAAAAAAAGTCTGATTTTTCCCCCCCCCCTTTAAAACAAAAAATAAAATAAAAAAACACACACACACCACGCACTTCTCTTCCATTCCTAATCATTTTAAGTTTTATCAAACACCAGCTGAAGATCAAGTCAAATAGCCAAGGAAAAAGAAAAGTCTCCCTTACTCTGCAGCTTTTAATGCACCATTAAGAGGAGATGAAAGGCTCCACACTAGAGTCCATACACACTCTGCAAACTAAATAGAATGAACATAGTACTCTTGAATGTTATTTAATTTACGCTCAGTAGTGTTATTTGTTCTTTCTCTAAATCAAAACTAGATTATTGTATTTTGCCACTAAAAATAGGTCAGGTTTCAACCATCTTTCAGGAGATCCATCTTTTTGGAAAGAAAGAACCGGGTGGCAACCCTACTAAGCCAAGTCAAAAGAAGTTTTTTTCCACTACTGTAGAATAATAGCGTTCAATCTCCCAGGAAAGATCTTGCAGCTATTAAGGGGTCCAACAGCAGCCAAAGCAAGCTAGCTGTTAGTGCCATTGATCTGTTTGATGAGACCTTTAACATAATTTTAAGATAACAAGCTTTGTAAATGGCAACAGTTACAGTCACATACAGACAACCATTCTGACTTGAATTCTTCTGGGATGGAGTATGAACTTAACTGAAGATGCCACAGAAAGAACTGGATGGGCCTTTCAAAAGGTCTTCGTGCCAGACAGATGAAAGGGAAGTCTTCAGAGACCCAAACATGAAACTAATATTTATAGCACAAGGAAAACATCAGCAAGTAGTTGTAAGCTTTGATATTGGCCAATACATTGCTGACAAGCAATGCACTTCATGCAAGTCTTCCAAATTTACCCTGAAAAGCAGAGTATTTACTAAATTCCACAGTGTTGTAAGATATTAGGATAAAACACCAATAGTTATATTAAAAAAGAATGAGGTCAGTGGGTTAATCATGCAATCAGCAGCAGCATCCAACTTCAATTTTTGAGTCCTTTGAAAAATGGGCCATTTTTCATGTCTTCCAAGGCATGCAGGTCAATCAACCCTCAATAGTCGGTTTTTAACCCTACAAGATCTAATTGTTTTTTATTTGCCAATATTCTGAAGAGTTCCCTAAATCTTATTTTGCAAAAAGACCAATAGTCTTATATATCAAAGTAAATCACACTGTAATTAGGACTCATTAAAACCCATTTACTTTCAAAAAAGCCAAATTACACACACTACACTAATGCATAAACATTAAAACTCAAACATATGGCAAACAAATTTGCTCTGCTAATTATGAAGTTATGAGCCAGTAAAGTAACACTTGATCTTTCAGTCACTGAGAACTAGAGATGCTCTATTCCATAACATTAATTTTCTGATTTGTCAGAAAGTTTAAATAAGCTTCTTCTAAACTTTGAAAAAGCTACCTGTATGCAAGTTGCAATCAATACTCCAGTCCACTTTTGCCATTAAGAAAAAGCTGTAGTCAAATAAAGCACAATGCATATCTGATTATGGAAGCTAGCTGGTGTTAAGGAATACCACAGATTTAACGACAAGAGCTATGAATATATACTGTCCACAAAAGACATCTCTTAATTTTACATAATGTGCTTCAAGGAAATTTAATGGAAATATTTTTGACCAAGCACAGTACATGTACAGGCAAAGCAGAGACACCACATACCTTGTGTAAGCAAACTGGAACCTTAAGGGACTCTAGGTGCTCTTGTTTTTAATCCTTTTGATCCTTATTCTCACATCTCTTGCTAACATTGGTTATTTTAATACAACTATTAATATTCTTTGCAGTGTGAATAAATCAACGGGCTATAGAAAATACTGAAGGATCCCAGAGATAATTTGAATAGATAGTTAGGAAACATCCATGAGGCATTTGTCAGCAAACATTACCCATCACCTGCTTGGGCAAGTAATGAACCATTTACCAGTTATGCTATATATTAAATACATATAGTTTGACTGGAATGTACTTGTACGTCATTGTATTTTAGCAGTAGTATCAAGCTACAAACAAGGATCCCAGCAGAAGAACAGAAACAAAACATGTAGTACCACATAAGATATTCACTAATCAATAGGGGGAATTAGAAATGTAAGAAAACATTAGAAAATTTTAAATGGAAGATGCTTTTTACACTGCCTTGCTTAGTAAGTTTTGAGGTTGAGCTACCTTATTATGATATTTACTCGGAAGCTGACAAAAATTACAGCTTGCTACCAAAAGAGGACAATCATCTTCTGGATCCCTGTTACAGCTCTCAACCATAAACAATACCCTGGATTTCTTAGGCTAATGGCAGATGAATTGCTCTCTTGCTTTTATCAAAACTATTATTCAGTAATAAAAAATGTTTACTCTAGTAACTCATAATAATTTATATATTAATTGGAATTTTCCCAACTGCATGACAGTAAATAACAGCATTTAAATTAATCATGTTGTAAAGCAATTTTTTAAACTACTGAAGTGTTATAAGCATGTTTAATATGTTAATATACTGTTTGCTAGTCTTATAGACAACACTTTGCTCTGAAACACTACACTTCATACTGCCAGTGTCTCTGCCATCCCTCTGCTTCATTGCAACTCAAGTCAATGCAAAAACCAAATCTGTTTTTTAAATGGCTATGTAATAATTAGACATTTTTACTGCACTTCAAAGATAAGTCCAGGTCTTAATCAAAGTACTCATTCCCAAATTAAGGTGCAATGCAAGTCTGCTTTCAAATTCATAACATATAACACAACCAACACACGTTTACATTAAATGTGCTCATATCAGCTCCCCAAAAGCCTAGCAACTTTAGTATATACTGCATCCAAAAAGGCTGAATTTTATTGTTTGAGGAATAACCAGTTTCAAGGTGTTAATTATAAGTCTGCAGTAGCATGACATATGTTCAATAAGAAAGTCAGCAACTGAGTCAAGAAACTCATGAGAAAAAAAACACAGCAACAGTCTTACCTTTAAGTCAAGATGAACTACATTGTTTCTGTGCAAGAACGAAACTCCTTCTAAAATTTGCTTCATAAGTCGTTTAACATCTTTTTCTTTGAAGGCTTCCTCCCTTTCAGCCACACACTGGTCAAAAATTTCACCTCCAGCAGCACTATGGAACAATATGCCTTTTATTATTTCAAAGAATATGTGATAGCAGCTATTTTGCTCTACTCACACCTTTATTTAGAATAAACAAATCAAGATTAGCAGGTCACCCCATACTGATTTTTTTTTTTCTCCAGTTACTAAATATTTAGTAATCTTTTGTAGTCTAGGAAGAAGACTTCTATGAAGTCTGGCAGCCTTGGAGAGAAAAAAAACTCACTTAGGTTAGAAAATATGAATACTACAGAAACACTTTTGGGGCTCTTCTGGAAAGATTAGTGACTATGCTTTGAGAAGAATGCTACCTTTGTTTATGGGCAACGTTTACATCAGAGATGTGTTTTTTCCCATTCCTATGGAAATACATTGTGATTTGGCCAAGATAAGGATTTGTAAATACCGAATGGGCCCCTCATCATCCTCCCCACAACACTATTTGCACATACTCAGAAAGACTAATTGTAAAGTTTATACTGCTATTGACATATTTGTAAAGTTTCTGGTCTATAAGGATGCATTAACTTTCTAAATGCATTCCATCTAAAAAGCACTTTGAGAATTTTAGCTCTCAAAGCTTGCTTATTTTTCATATGTTTAAATAAATAATATAAAGAAAAAATAAGTACACTGAAGCCAGATGCAGTACCATCTCTGCATAGCAATGACTTTAGAGAGCTAAGTGTTTCACATGACCACGTAGCATCCAAAGTAAAACAAGCAGAGTAGGTGCTCCATCTTGAAACAAGAACAGGCATAAGAACATTAGAATGGGGCCATTTTGCACATGCATTGCTGAATTATTAAAGTATAAGTGAAATTAACATGTACACATTTTCTGTTTCACCTGAAATCCTAAAATCACCCTTTAGTGAAAGGCAATGAAAGCCCTAGGGACAGTACCTTCTTCAGTCGCTACAAACCGACATGCTAAACCTGACTTTCCACAATCATTAGTCTTTATTGATGTGTAACCACCTATTCTATGCCTTTGGTAATTTTTAATAAATCAGACTACCTAGACCATCAAGAAAGAAGAGAGGCATATTCAGTGAAGATGCAACAGCAACATGACAGTCCTACATGAACAGTGCATTTGTATTATGTACCCTCAGAAAAGAGCATCTAAATACACTTAGAATTTTCATTATGCCAATAATGCTATAGTCCAAGTGACTTAAAATGCCTCATGCAATATAAGTTTTCTTTGTCTTAACAAATAGCCTTACTATCATTATGTGAAATTCTGACTGCAAATCGCCTTACAAGAAAAAAAATAAGGGTTAAGTTTAAAGTTTTTCTTAATAAATTTTTATATTTCTATTCTGCACACCAGCAAACTGATACAGCAGTATTATTTGCTTTAATAAAAGATTTTTTTCCAGAAGTCCATTAAGTAATCCCTTCTCTTTATGTTGTATCAAAGATGATAGCTCTAAATGATATACAGAGTTTTCATGAATGAAGTATTAATATTTTCATCCCCTCTAGAAAGACTGCCTATACCTGACATTCTTCACCCCAGCCTGCTTCAGCATGTTGTTATTTCAAGGAAAAAGGTAGTAACACTTCAGCTTTGGACAGGATTGAGATATCAATGACCCTTTAAAAAAAGCATATTGGATACTATTTTCTAATATTCCAGAACAAATTCCTTAAACACACACAAAAAACCAAAAACACAACATTGCTTGGATCAAGATAGGGATAGAAAAGTATCTACTGTAATTAATGAAGGAAACAAAAATTAATCTTTCAAGAATGCCATAATATGTTACTAGGAAGACATTTAATTCCTTGTAGCAGTAAGTTATAGTTCACATCACTGATAAAATCTACTAGCAAAATTATCAACATAAATCTATTTTACATCAATAACATGGATTTTTCCGGTACTGCTCTTTCACTCAAAATAAGCAAAATAGTACTTATGCTATTTAATTCTATGTGAAATAGAACTCTACCACCTAAAAAAACACACACAATTAATGTCAACCAAGGATCATACTTCATTTTTAATAGACCCAGCTGAAAAAAAATCAAAGCAGAGACTTAAGCCTCGTCTGCTCAGTAGATGTATATTCTAAGTTATGCTAATGAACAGATTAAGAACACTGAAGTTCACTGAAGAACACTAAACTAAAATTTACACTCTAGAACTTTAATACTACACTTCAAGAACCTTGAATTACATTCGTTAAAAGACGATAAAAGTTGAAGCAGACATTGTTCCATCACGGAAATCAAGACAGCGCTCTAGCATATGAGAGAGGGGAAAAAACAGATCCATAAAATTTTGCAAAAGAGGTATTTAAGTAACTTGCATGATGCTACGTTCATCAGCATCTTTAAGAGAGAAAGAAGCAAATATGGCCCTTGTAGAAATACACATGCACTTGATGACTTATAAAATATGGCCCTTCCCAGCCACCATTGACATCAAATATACTCAGCTTTACATAAGAAGTTTCATGTGAATAGATGGTTTGACATGCAATGGTTCATTTTAGTATGAAGTTTTTATTTGGGACATAGATATGACAACTACTTCCAGACAATTCACTATTAAAAAATTACCATGTTCAGAAAAATAACTAGTGAACCTTTATATGAACATAAATTAATTATAGCAAGACTGTTTTGTGTATCATTCCTGTGGAGCGAGTATATTTGACTCCCTTTAAGCAAAACAGCCAGCTAGCTGTCTGAGCCAGCACAGTCACAAGTAGTTGGAAGGACAACGTCAAAAGGAACTCTAAAAAGATTCTACTGCACATCTATGCCAAATTTTGCCAGGCTCCTTAACAACACTTTCTCCTCAGTTATTTTATATTCCCTAGCTATATACAGTTCATAGTTCAGAAGAAAAAAACACATACAAACACAAAACATAGAAGGGATTAAGATACCTGTTAGGAAAGTGTTATGGGCATGTCATTGCTACGATTTCAACACACACAGACCATGAGTTCTCTTGTGCTTAAGAGTTATCCATATCTCCTCTAAAAACACATATTCCGTTATGTTGTAGCTTTCTGAATGGTCATTATGAAATAACTGCTTTGCAAACCACTGGACACCCCCCTGCCACCACCACCTCCACAGAAAGCATTCCTAGGATGTAAAAGCAAAGAATCGTAACAGTGCCTTTAGGGGAACAAGCTTCTTAAATACTTCCTTATGTGTTTCTTTCAGGAACAGTGTTATTTACAATACCTGATTTCACTAATATAGACTCCCTTAGCTAGCTGTAAGTAAAAGGGTGAGAAGTAAGAATTCTGTCCAAACTTAAAGGCTACAGCAACTGGATTTCCTTCTCTATTTTAACTTATTTATGAAAGTACTGTTGTCTTAGCAACTTCTCTCTAGCTTCAAGTGAAATTCAATTGCTCTTCATTAATGAAAGTAATGCTAACTTTTTTACTGCTTATCAGCATAAACAAGCTAAGTCATATGAAAAGCTTGGAACATTAACCATGGTTACAACCATGCTATCTTTAAATTCAACTGAGACTGTTCTTCTTTAGAATATATCTTAACAATGGACTGTACAGAATTCAGCACACTTTTCAAGTGCACTTACTACCATAACCACTTAGCATATCATCAGAAAGACTGAACTCTATTCCAATGCATCTGGAAAAAAAAATCAAATTTCTCCAGCTTTACTGAAGCAGGCATTAAGGCAGTTTCAGAAAGTTTCAAAACTACAAATCCTCAGAGTAAAGATATGTGGATAACAAGTTCAAAGAATCCACTTGACTTCAAATGCTGAGTGAGACCATATACAGCTACAGTCTGCAAGGGTCAAAAATTCACTTTCTGAATCTCGGGCTTTGTCAAAAGCCTTTCTTGAATGAATTTCCAATTAACTTCCAAAGATAACCTTTTCATTTTCTGTACACAGAGCTTATATTACAGGAACAGCACCATAAGCAAAGGTTCACATTCACTCCTACTGACAATCATATCCTTCTCTTAGCTAGGCATGCAATTAGGTAGGAAGCAAGCAAATGAATTTACTGAGAATTTCCTCAAGTGTGAGGCTACCGTAGCATGCTGGTATTCCCAAAAACCAGAATGAACTGTGTAACTATCTGTGAGGAGAGGACACATGGAAAGAACGTATTGAAGATAGTAAAGAGTAAGAGGAAGTAACTAATATAGCGAAAGAAGTTTTCCTATACCTTTCAGAAAATCTCCAGTTTTGATCCAATCCATAAAACTTTAAATTAAGCTCTAATAGACAAGGTGCTAATATTGGAACAGAACAACTATTTGTGATTGGAGTGTTTTTGCTTCAAATTCCATCTGTTGAATCTTATGCCAAATGAACTGTTTCCTGCCAGCAGACTCTTACTTTATCCAGGTCCAAATAGCTAGTAGATGGAAAAAGCACTAGCACATCAAATATACCTCAATCATCTCTTCAAGACTGCAAAGACTTTTTTTTTTTAAAATAAGGGTAACAAAAGTCTGGTGTATATCTACAAAGATATCTACAAATACCTACGCAAGACCCTGGCAGTCAGCTCCCTGGTTCAGAAGCTCTCCAAAGAACAACACATAACAGCCTAGATTTTGGCGTTCCACATACAAGTTTGTTTAAAATCTGACCTACTAACCCAGTTATCATCTGTCCCTTCCACAGATGTATAAACATAGTGATGAACACTTACAGACAGAAAAGTCAATTCTTAGGCATCAGATGTACTGCTGCTCTGTCTTTCAAGAATCAGAAAAAGACAAGTTGCATACAAATGTTGAGATGAGAAGTTAAAGGGAGGGAAAAAAGCAATCTTGCAATATGCCAGGATTTCCAGGTATCTCCACCTTTTCCAATAGATGTCCAGCTTTTTTTATTCATTCTATTTTTACTAAAATGACTGACCCACAGATAAATCCCAGGCTTTACGTATTACTCCTTCAGATCTTACTCAAATCCTTTATTTGAGGTTTTGTGCCAGAGAGAGAAGTCATTATTGTTAGTTATGGATGTAAGTAGGTATAGTTTGATCTGTAGAGTGGCAGAGCTAACACTAATGCCTCTTGCCTCCCACAGCTCAGAACTTGCATTAACATTTACCAGACAGTTTCCAATTTACTTCCTGTCAAAACAGATATTGCTTTAAAGACAGCTCTCCAGATCACATTAGTATTTCTCTTCAAGGCAAAGCCCCAGCATGCCCCTTATTACAGATCCAGTATCAAGATAAAAAAAAAATTCAAAACCATAGCAGAGAAAAGTTAGTGGGCAAGAATTAAATATGGTTTTCTCCTTTTCCTGATAAAGATCTGCCACACAGACCATCAAGCTTAATCGAGACAGAATAACCTTATGCCCTAAAGAAACCTGCAGTCTAGATATATTCTTTAATCCTTTGCATATAGAATGTAAGAAATTTACTAACATTCATACCTGTTTTGTTACAACATGTCTCCGGAACATGCTGACATTAAAGAAGCAACCAGACATATTTGCTGAAGTCAGTGGAAGAGTCTTTTTGTAATTTATAACAAACATACAACTATTTATCTGCAACACAGTACTGTTTTTATATGCCTCAAACAATCATAATGTTGCTAATTACTGAACAACCTGGTTACTAGTTAATACTTTGGATTAAAAATGCATCTTGTAATTGTAATAGAGAATTGAGCTCTAGAGGAAAACTAGCAACTCTGCATTACAAGCATCATAAAGCCCATTGCTCAACTCAAGCTTTCAATTCCAGCACTTGGATTATGTCCCTTCAGAAATTTAAGCTGTATTTTGTTTAGATCTTTCTTGCTCATGTTTAAGACACGAGTCTCCAATTTCTATATGACAGCAGTTAGACTCTAGAAGCTCTGTCACATTTTTGTGTTATGATTTGTAAAGTTCAAATGTCTGCTACACTTCATAAATCACTAATACCTTAACTGCACAATGCAGTTTTTAAAGAGTGTATTCTAGATGTCTTAGAATGGAATGAGACTCTGTCTTAGAGTCTCATTCCACTCCACTGAACCTCAAAGATACAGTTTCTTTTGACTTCTAAATAAGACTCAGATTGGAATACAAGATTTCTCACCATATTTTCATTATCAAGGAGGAAAAGAGTTATACAAACTAGAGCTATTTGGCATACAGGCTAAGTGACTTCTGAACTGTCAAGCCTCCCTGCTCCTTTCCTAGTTATTAAAAACCCATAAAGCTTGAACAAGATCTTCACTGAGTTTACTAGCAACAAGCATTTAGCTACCTCTCAGTACATATATGACAAAGATCTAAGCCTCTGGAGCGCTAGATGAGTATTTGAAGCTGCAAAAACTCCCATATGAAGAAAATCAGTGGGGAGTGGTGGTGAGGAAAATGGAGAAGTGTAGAGTCCCAGGTAAACATCATTTAACAGAAACTATTCAAGGCCTGAATTCTATCACTCCTATAGGTTCTCCTCCTCCTCCCTTCCCAAAAGGCACTGGACCACTATGTTGTTACACACTTGAGTCTCTGCCCAAAAGGTCTTCAAAGAAACATTAATACAGTGCTCCTGCCTTTTTTCCAAAGGATGAAAGACAATTTTTGCCAGTATCATATTAAGAAAAACAGTTAAGGACTTCTAATGTTGGTCTAGTTCTGGAGAAAAATGGAACTGCAAGGGAACATAGGCATTCAAGCCAGATAACACGACCACAGTAGAGTGCAGGTGTTCAGTATGGAGCAGCCTGCTGTTCTAAGTTTATATACTTCCTGAAAGATCTTGCATTTGGAAGATTTATAGTTTAACTAGATACAGCAGCCAAGAGTTTCAGCACAAGTTTCCCTAATATTAACTGTGATAGAATACCTATGAGTAAACATCTGCTCTAAGTCCTAGCCTCATACAATTCTCGTAGAGATTCATCAAGCTGAGAAAAAAAAAAGTCTGATACTTGTCAAGCTCCTCAGCTTCAGATAAGAATTATCTCCAAAAATGAACCTCTAAAAACTAAACATTCTGTTTTGATTTAATTTTGAAGAGATTTCAGAACAGTTTTTCCATTGAGACTAAAAAAAAAAACAAGATGTGATCACAAATCACAGAACTTCTCATTGTAGGTCACGTTGAGAATTTTTTAAAGATAGTACACATTTCAATTAGATTGTTTTAAATGCTTTTTTCAAAACTGGACTTCAGCTAACAAACAGATTTCACCCCACCTTTGGCACTGTCAATGAAACAGACTTCAGTATTTGAACATATAATCAATTCTTTCCCCACCCTCTTTTACAAGTATGGAGTGTACAGAGCTGATGCTTCACTGAAGACTAACTACTCAAAACTCAAATTAAGGCTCAGCTTTGAAAGATACTATGCAATTGGAGAAGTTTATTGTATTCTGCAGCAGTTACAAGATTGTACATAACCTACTGATTTTCTTACCAATTCTTTTCAAACTCAGGCAAGGATAAGTGGCAAGCATCAACGTTTTTTGTCATATTAATCACTGATGCACAATATTTTTACATTATTTGAATAGAACAAATACTGCAGAATGTTACTCAAAAAAAATTAGTACTTACTATTCCAGGACTAAAATCATCTCTGTTGCAGTTTCATAAATTTCATGCAAGTTAATGACCCAAAGGTTGCATTGTGCCAACTCAAGGACTGCAATTTCATGGATTATTTCCATCCGACAATCTTGGCCCTTTCTTCTTTTTCTCATGAATTTTGCTGCAAACTCTCTTTCTGTTCCTTTCTGGATGCACTTCTTCACCACTGCAAATTTTCCTCTGAAATCAAAGAAGAATGGCAAGTTAAACGTAAGTCACTCAGTGACAACTTAAGTATTGTGGTCCTTGTAATTTAGTATTTCAGTAAGTTTGAATGAAGTCACTTTAAATGGGCACATTTAAAATATGTTCTAAACTTAGAATTTAGGAGTACCACAGCCTGAAATGCTCTTCAGTCATCTCCATCAAAAAAAAAAAAGAGAGAGACCTAGCCATCAATTCAGGGAACCTAGGATTTCAGAAATAACGAAAAAAAAAAAAAGCTGTGCTAGTTAGCAAGACTGAGATATCCCTAAGCCCTTGATAAAACCTTTCTTTTTTAAAAAAGCAAGGTACACAAATAAATAATTTGCTCTTGCTGTGGACATATTATAATGATTTAAGTATTTGATGCTTTATTGCTTTGCAAAGTATCCCACCCTACTCAAGGCAACAACAGTTAGAACTCTTGCTGAATCATTTCTCAGTATCTTGTTCCACTTACTACAAAATATCCGAACGTTGCTCTGCAGAGCAAAACACAAACTTGTGGACTTTTCTGTGATTGCTGCTCATATTAAAGCACTTCCCAAACCAGTCTCCAGGAAACAGCTCATAAGTGTTGCCTCATTTTACCAAAAGCACATAGAAGCAGAAAAATCAAGGCCTCAAATAGCTACTGATTTCAGGTATCTTATTTAAGACACTACAATCTGCATTTTCAGAGGTATTGCATGGTATTTTCACATGCTATGCTTCTAGTCATAGGAGTTATAGTTTTGATTGCTTAACAGTTCTCAAAATGCCTTGTTCCTGGTCTGACTGCCTGAGCAAAGAACATAGAGATCATTAAAAAAAATAAGCAACACAAAGCATTCTAACAAGATTTCTGTGACAGTGTTAATATGAACACACATAGCAGAACTAAGCATAGCACTTAACACGTTAATGAGCGTCATTTCTGATGAAACATGACAAACACTGTTGAGTTATGTCGGGTCAGCAACCTAGCTAGAACCATATTGTGGTGCTCAGTTCAGAACTCTTCCTCTATAACATTTTGGATTGAAGTGTCTGTTCTAAAATTTCTTGTAATAAAGTGCTCAGAGCCATCTGTATACCTCAGTTCAGTTCATAGAGTATATCAAAATGAAAATGTCTATTAATTAATAAATCATTTAATGCAATTATAAATACTCATACTTTTAAGTATAGCAATCATTTTTAACTCCGCCCATACAGGTATCATTTTTAATCAAAACTGTACTTTTTCTATGTAAGACTTACAAAGCTGCAAGAATAGCTTGGAAGATCTTTATTGTAGTTCTTTCTGTTTAACTTATTGTAGGATAGCCAAAACCAAAATAAGAGTCCACGTCATGTTTGAAATAAAGCTACATGGGTTTTTCCTCTCCTCCCTCCAAGCTGAATTTTACAGAATTAACTCATTCAGCTCACAGTTCTTTCACTCTTGCAGATTTTAACCTATTGGCAGACTGCCTTCCCTGAAGCGTTAAGGAAGGCTTAAAGCAGTTTTAGTCAGTTGGCTTAAAATAGATATTTGTTTCAAAGTTATCCAATCAAAATGAATTAAGTCAAATAAGCACACGTAAAATGGGTATTTGGCAGATGATCTCACTAAAATAATCTGAATTGAAACTACCGATATAGCCACAGTTATTTCTCTAGGAATAATATGCTGCATAAGCACATATGTTCAGCATAATAGATATTAGAACCGATCAGAGCTGAGTCCAGGTATCTGTGAAGGCTCAGTAACACAGTAACAATATGCTTTAAATGCCTTGAAACTATTTTTTTGGAGAAAGTTCTTAGTTAACAATATAGGTGCCATGACAACATTATAGCTTTACAAATGCATGAAAATACTATTATGGCTTTGCAGAACCAAGAAGGTTTGGTCAGAAGATCACTAAAAATGCTTTAATCAATATGGAAGCTACCATAGAACACCATGAAACAAAGAACCACCCAAAGTCTTGAATAAAGGCTAACAGATCTACTAGATATCTGCAACAGGTAAATCAAAAACAGTGTTGGAAGAAATAAAAAAACATGTTCAGGAGGGACAGCTCATCAGGAAACACAAAAAATGCTTCAGAGCCCGAAGTAGAAACGCTGTACAGCCAATGTTTTTTCTAAGTAGAGTTCTGAGAAGCTTGCAATGTTTGTGTTGCAACTACAAGTATAAACACCTCTCCAGTATTGTCATCTTAACAGTGATTAAGAGCAATCATGCTTATGTAGCCAGTGAAAAGGATTTTAAGTTATTCCAAATGGAGACACATGTACAAAGCAAATCTATGCATTCATCAAGATGTTACAGTCCCTGCTGAAGCTGCACATGTTTAGCAACCAAAGCAGATAAACTGCATTGAGAAAAAAAATTCACATCTTCATCGACAGGAGGAAAAAAAAAAAAGAAAGAAAATCCTTTGGAAGACTAACAGATAAGACCCTTCAACAGCAAGTTATTTCAATACCTGGTGATATTAAACCTCTATGCCAAAAACCTAGATCCCTGGGTTCAACCTTTGCTATTTTTCTAAAATAATTTCCATATGCATGACTTCCCTCTGAATTTCTCCTTACTCCAGAGTCAAAAACTGTTAACTCTAGCACCAATGATGTGCCAGAAAAGTAGTTTAGAAATCTAAAATTAATACTGCTTTCAAGAAGCACACTTTCAGATGTGCTTAAATCCTAAGGTCTACCTGGAAGCAGATACGCAGTCTAATGAGTACCATCACTGCTGATTCATCATACATGAGTCACAATGGAAATAAAACAATATTCACACGGCAGCAAGAAACAGTAAGAGACAGACACCACTGTGTGTGGCCACACGTGTACTGTATAGCTGAGCTGGAGAGAAGCCTGATATGTGACGTAATTAAAAGGGCAGGTTACTCAAGCAGTCAGCTGGCTGACAAATATTAATTCTTAGCTGTTTAAAACTAAGAATCCTGCCCAGATTCTTGATGGTTACACCTATAATTAGAGCTATTATAGTTACAGTCTGCAGGATTCACCTTTTCTGAAGACAATCCCCTAAAAGATTCTGAACTCCAGAAACCTGATAAGTTTATAATTAAAGCTTATTAGTATGCAGCTATCTAGGCTCATGTCTGAGATAACTTCAGAGCTACGATGGCAGCAAAGGTACCATCCACTGGACAATCAAAGCAGGAAGTTAAGCCAAGGGATACACTTGTAAATATTTTTCTTAGTACACACAGTATAGTAGATGTAAACAAGGTTTCTGATAAAGTACCGTCTGCATATACTTCATTGTTGTCTTTCTTGAAAGACTTTTCTCAACTCCTTATAAAAAAAGGAATCTGCTATTAAAAGTAGTATTACACCACAGCATTGCTAGTTTAGCTGTATTAAGAACTACAGTAAGAACGTCACACTTAAGGAAGAATAATTTTGAAAAAGATATTTAATGTTTGTTCCCGAAGTTAAAAACTGATTACCAAATATCCAAACACAAACAAAATGTTTTTAAGGAAGACATGAATAGGAAACCAGAAGTAGTTCTCAGTCTTCTCAGGAGTCTTATTCCAGAATTATGATTTAATCTTAAATCATAATGGGTTATGAACAATCTCAGTGTCCTCTTTTCAGATTGCCAACAGAATCAGCATCATTTCACCTGGCATACAACACAGTTTAAGAGAAAAATCTAAATCACAAACTATACATCAAGTCAGATAAGCACGAACATTTATATCATACCAGTTAATTTGGGTTGTGATAGGCTCAGAAGAACAGAGAATTAACATTTAGAGCAGAATTTAATTACTCTAATGATTATTTCTGAAGTGACCTATAAAGCATTTTGTCACAATATCAAGCAGAGAAATGACATCAACTCCCCTGAAGATATCTACCTTTCAGAAAGCTTAAGAAAGCTTTTCTGAGATTCACAAAACTATATACAATTTATGCCATCATAGTTCAGACAATATCTGAATTATTTCTTCCACTTCTGCAAATTGAGATTCTGTTTCTGATCATCTGTAATTTACCCACATTAAGTTTAGTCTCAAATGGTGGAACCAACTACTTGCAGCTCTCTTCATTTCCACCTCTATCCATTTAATTTCACTCTATTCCACAGCTGTTTTACTCTAGCTGCGCTACTGCAAAGAACAGCTTAGGATAAAAACGTGATAACGTATACATTCTTACTGTACAAACTTGTACAAGTTTATCCAGTAGCACTAGCATGCAAGTTCCTGAAAATGACTTGAAGAATAAGCCAAGTTCATTATAGAGTTTGGATCCCACCCTCTCCCCCCACCCCCCCCACCCCCAGAAGAGTTATCTGCACATGGAGCTACATTCAGATCAGTAGTCAAAAAAACTTCCTTAATACTCTGCTCAGTTCCTCAGTTGATTTAAATACTTCCAATTCTTAGCTCTGAATAAGGAATGAGATCGTGTGTTTTAACTAAGAAAAAAAACACAGATGACAGAGTCAACAGAATTGCATTTTGTAGAGCTTGTACATTTTGCCAGAAGTATGCTGTGTTTAGAGCTGATCATTTATGACCACTGCTACTTTCTAGTGAGAAGAAAGCTAGGTCTGCCATTTATTGTTTTCAGTACATAAATTATAAGCACTGATCCAGACATAGCTTGTTTTCCATCAAGCAGAGTGCAATACTCCCTCAATGAGCTGCAAGAAATAAGTAATAGACTATAGTATTTTGTTCACCACTACTTAAGAGGTTCTTTTATAGAGGAAAAGGAGCAAAGTAAATACAATTGCATCAGACACTTTATATAAGCTTTAGGTAATATAAATCAGTGATGAACAATTTCCATTGAGGTTGTGTTTCTGGAATATGGAGCTTCAGAATAAGCATACTCGCAAGTATCCTTTAACTCTATCACTACAAAAATATTAAAAATACTCTTCCTCATCTTACAGTAAAATTGTTGTTTGAATGCAGATGGTAAGGGGAATAGTCAACCAACGGATGCCTTGTCCTCTACAAAGGTTACACTACTTCAAACTAACCTAGCTCAAGCTAGCACTTCTGCAGAAAAATGAAGAAGCCAGAGTGAGTTGATGGCACCCCTAAAACGCCCATCAGACATAAGTTTGCTTTTAAATACCATGCAACTTGAAATGGAGATCTGTGAGAGATCATTACGATTTATAGACAGAGGTAGTAAGGCTGTGAAGACTAGCTCAAAATTTAATTTGCTAAAACACTTAATCAAAAAAAAAAACATTTCCATGTTAGTTGAAGCAACTTAATAATTTTTCCAGGATAGCCATTGTAACCAAGCTTTTGTTATTTTTTTATTATTTTTTCTCGAATTGATCTTTTTTTTCCCCTAGCAGTTGTATTTGGATAGACTTACAAATATCTGTTCAGCTACAGACTCAGGCTGCCATCTTTTAAAGTACATAAGCTTTACATTCTCTAAGCAATTTTTTCCTGCAGATAGAACAAATGAAGCCTGATTTCCCCAGTTTTACATTCAAGTCCCTCCACTGACATTATGACTAGGTTGCTCCCATGCTAATCCATGACTCTTTCAGCAGTACTTCCCCATGCCTTTCACCCCTAACATGCCTTCATTGGCCAGCAGCCCCAGTATCTTCCTTCCCCATACTTCTAGGGCTACAATGCCTTCTATGTCTGCCCTCATTCCCTCCCTCTTCCCACCTCCTCCACACAAAAGTGACAAGGGAACGGAGGACAAAGGCCCCAAGTGCCACGGCTAGTTCCAACATACATGTGTTGACTGACTGAATTGGAGGCCAAAGAGCACATACCTGCTGAGTTCATGCAGCTGCCTTGCTCTCAGCAAGGATACTAAATCTTTTTTCTTTTCTCTCCCACCTACCAATGTTAAACACCGTTTATAGGAACAAAATTATTTTTGAAACCTCTATCCAAAGTTCAACTTTTAAATTATTCTTTCAATTCTGGAAAAAGGAATGGACTACTAGAGACTGTATAAGCTTTGTTTCCTCAGCAAACTGAGCTACCAAATGGGAATTAAAATAGAGTATGTTGTGTGTACATGGGCTGCTTTTTGTCCATGACCTAAAACCTGTCATATCTGGTTGACAATTTGTCAAAGTCCTTTGCAAAGATAAACTCTACTCAAGTAAAAACTTACACATTTTATGAACAGATAAAAGTGAAACAACTTCTGCTAACTTTCTCAATAAAACACAACACAAGACACTTGAAGTGTTAGTGAGACTTTCCATTTCACCACCTTTGCTTTGTCACAATGAGATAGCAAGAATTCATCTTTCATGGAAGTGCTTGTGCTGAAAAATCCACTGTTCATTATAAAAGTGTAGTAAGAACCCCTAAACATTCCAAATTGTTGAGTTAAAAAACAAGCACATAAATAGAAATTTATACATTTGAATGTAAGAGAAGATACTGGAAAATATTCATGAAGTTGAGGGGAGAAAAAAAGACAGTCTGAACCAAAATATACACAGCTATTGCAAAAAGCAATACCAACATTTAGAACAAAAAGCTCAACTCATTTTAATATAACTGTAGGTACAGAATCACAACCACCAGATGAAGATCACCTTCATACACAGTTTGGGTCAAAACCAACTCCATATAGAAAGTCATATAAAGATTGCCTTGTTCAACATACAGAATGAAATTTGCTGCAGTACAAATTGCTGTACACAGAGTAAAAGCAATCATTTTAGTTGTAGTTTTGTGCATCAGAAGGAACCACTAATTTTTTTTAATTACTAATACTATTTTTTGACTAGGCCCATAAGTATCACCCAGCTCGTAATATAAGCTCTCACTCCACGGCAGAGCTTCAAAGTGTCTTCAAAAAAGTCATTCAATCTTTGCATTAAGAAGCACCACTCACCCACATACCACTGAGCAACAGCAGTACTAGCACATCCTATGTTACACTGCTCCAATGCCCACTTAACTCTAATACTTGCTTAGAATTTATGCTGTTCTCTAGCTCACATTTATCTACCTTCAATTTCCAGGCCCGGGACACTGGGGTTACATCATACTAAAGAAAGCTTTCTCACTCTGAGTTCGTTCTCCCACCTGCTTCTCACGTGAACGCTCTAGGCTACTATGTTTAACCAAGTATTATTCTATTAGTACACAAGATTTACTAAAGTGAGCATCAGGTTGACACCTAGACACCCAAAATATTCGTTAGAGGTACTTAAAGCAGTTACATTTGCTCTGAAACTCTCCTTTTCTCCTTCTCTCCAAAGTGCTGGGTTTTCCTGCTGCATAAACTCAGCTATAGAGCTACCTTAATTTGCAAAAGAATGTAGATTAAAGAGTATCTCACAGTACATCTTGAGGTATAGCATGTCATCTTTTTGATCTGAACGCTCTTTAGATAAGAGCGTGAGACCCTGAGTAAGAATACCACCATTATTACGAGAAGTGACAGACTTTCAGACAAAAATACTCGTCTAGTGGTGCTGAAATTCCACGTATATTGTTTCTGAGATGCAAAGTCTTTTAACGAGACTTTCTGCCTCAAGCCTTGCTTGCTATCTGTGAGGTGCCTTTTAAAATTACACACTGATCAAGCCTTGGATGTGGAGCACTGCAGGAGTCACTTTCAGACCTCCAATTCTTTAACTAACTTTAACTCTTTGAAAAGTTTCCCCATTCTTCCAGACTTGCTTTTCCCCATGTCAGAGCTTGCAAAGCTCATGAAAAAACCTGGCTGGTCTCCATCGCCAATCCAAATCTAGAGCAATACGCCATGCTCCATGCTTGCCCAGGGGAAAGAGCGCAGTCTCTTCCCAGCTAGCTTAACAAGGCTGACAATGACTTCTTCAGTACAAGTAAGGGCAATCGACCGTGGCCAGCAGGAGTACAGCTGTACCGACAGCTGACACCCAGCACCCTTCCTAGCCAAGCCAAACACTGCCCAGGCAGCAGGATGGGCACTTCCTTGGAGCTGACACCACGCAGCAGGGCGAGGCCAGGAAAGGATGCCACTAACCATGGCTCTAGCACGGCACTGACACTTTTCCCCCTCCTCCCACTATCGCCTAGCGCTGCTCAAGGCGACGGTGACTCAAGCTGGGCAGGGGAGGAAGGGGAAGCAGGTGAAAATGCAGGGTGACTGCCTGCCTCGCAACTTACGGCGGGCAGCCGGCGGC